CCGCCCCGGCCGACGCGCCGACCGACGGCGCCACCGGCACCGCGGCCGCCGCTCCGGCCGACGCCGGAACCGACGGCCCGGCTGCGCCGGTGGCCGACGGCACGGCCGAGGGCACGGCCGCGGAGGGAGGTTCCGCGGCGGAGCCGGCAGTAGAAGGGCCGGCGGGGTCGGTGACGGTGCCGGTGGAGAAGATTGTGGTGGGGAAGCTTAGTGGGTGAGCTGAAGTGTCACGTTGGCTGTGGTTGAAGGCAGTTTGCGTGTTGGGAGCAATTCAGTGATGGCCCAAGCACTGTTCGGAGGCAAGGAGAATGATCAACTGATTACTTGGTGTTTAGACCAGGGTGACTGGGGGGTTGTGATGATGTGCCTGGGATGACCCACCAATTTGGGGCCACTCTTCACATCAAGACGTCCACGCTATCCTCATGACGTAGATCTACCGGAGCAACGAGGACAACAGTGTCCCTGAAAAGTCCCAAGTTCGGACGTGACCCAAAGGTTTTTCGGTGCTCACCAGGGGAAGGAAGATTGCACCTAAAACACACATGTGTGTTCGGGTCAGAAGTCCTTCTTCTTTTGCCCGCAACTGTCTTGATCTTGATCTGCCGTGTAAAACTTATCTTGACAGCATAGACCTTTGAATTACGAATTTGCAGCTTCCACATGAAACAGTGGGTCCAAGATTATAGGTGTTGGATTTCAAGCATCAAAAGTATGTTGATGTATGTTGAAGTGAGACACAATCCATGTGAAAGCGCACCCCAAAAAAGATCGACCACCTCCAAGTTCCATTCTGTGCGCCTGCCGCGCCATGAACTTGGAGTGAAGCTCAAAGGTCAAACCAAACATCATGAGAAGCCCCACATCCAATGATTTTGGCTTCGAGCCCAGGTGGTCTTCGTCACCGCTAGTCACCAAAAAAATTGAGGTACGGAGCTTGTATGAGCTCACAGTGTTTCTTTTCGAACCTAGAAAGCACACGTGAGCAAGCAAAAGCAAGCCGACCACCCCAGGTCCCTGTGTGCCATGACCCAGTTTGTCAAGTGGTTAAAGCTGCCTCAGGGCGAAGAAGAAGAATCCTCAGAAGGTATGACCTTCCATCCTCCCACACCCCAGGGATCACAGCAAACTGCCAGAACTGCCCTACCACTTCATCACTTCATCGAAGTCGCCAAGGAAGTGACGGCAATCCCACGAGCACCGGCACTGTACATCGAGGCGACGCAAGGCCCGGTCGCTGTTGGTCGCTGTTGGAAGCGCTTGCGGTTCTGGAGTCTGAGACCGCCTGGTGGCGCAGATGAGATTTCATTCGAAAATACTATATCTTCACTGTGAGAGTTCACCCAGAGATAGGTGGTTGATCTACACCGATACATCACAGGGGGTTCCAAACCCACCGGTTTTTCTGCCAAGACCTTTCTCTCTGATGTCGTGCCCCCCGCGAGGGAACTCAGCGAACCTTTGTGGCTTCAAACTGGAGGGATGATACCCAGACTACCACCAATACCCACCACACTTGGTGATGAGAAACAAGACTTAGTTCAGGTGATGAAACCCAGTTCTTACTTCTGTCAGGGCAGAGCGGCACAACAGCCCCACGAGGATGGGCTGTACCGATGAAAACCAAAGTTCTGCTGAGCTGATCGTAGATGTCTCCTTTTGGACGTGTCAGTTAGCGGCGACTCAGGCGACCTGCCTCTCGACTTCTTGGAGCCTCAATTACGACGAAAACCACCTAAAAAGCAATGGCCTCCAACCTAAAAGCGAGGGCCATTGCTATTAAGTGAGGTTGGACCGTCTCTTTTCCCAATTGGTTCTCCGAAACTCTTTCACTCGAACCCGTGACGGGCCACCTCGCACACGCCATCGCCGATCCGTCGCAGGAGAGACTCGGGTGGTCCTTTTGCAAGACAAAGGCGCCGGGTCTCTGCGGAAAATCTGGGTTTCACGGAGCCACGGTGGCTGAAAGACTGGCAGTTACATGGGTAAAATGTAGATCCCAACGGGTGCGGCATGATGTAGAATCTTGATTGAAATCAACCTCCCCAT